TTAACCCCCCATTTTATTTCCTTCTCCTTTGCACTACTGCCAAGAACATCACTTGCATTAGCATGCAAGAACCTTTTGAGATCACTGAGGGCGGGAGCTGCTCTGAAACCGCTGGCCATGGGCGAGGAGCTGTTTTGCCCTGGGGGCTTAAAAGAATCCGCGCCTCCTCCAGCATCCCTGTGAACGGGTCCGGTGACGCTTCCCCTCTGGTTGAGCCCGTATTCGAAAGAGTTCGCAGGCAGGCTGTGATCCCAACATGCGTTGCAGCATTTGCAGAAACTTGTCTGACATGCAAAGATCCTCAGGAAAAAACCTCCTTGGACAACTTCCCCCAGGGGAAGGCTGCATTAGGAAACGCCAGCCTTATGAACCATTCTGCTACTATGGATAAATCACTGCACTGGATGTTAGACCCACTGGAGTATTTAGTCCTGAACCTTTTTTCCCCCTCTGCTGCCCTAAAACAAGCCTCTGTGTTTTTGAAGAGGGATGTGACTACCTGATAGTTGCACTCCGGGTCAAGGCAGTGATAATGTTCCCGGTATTGGTACGCACAGTGAATGTGTCCGCAGTGCTGGCTTCCAGAAAACCTGGAAATGGGAAGAAGAGAGAGAGAGAAAGGGCGGGAGGGGGTGAGAAATATAATGGCCAACAGCTCCCCTTTTCCCCATCCTCTGGGTTAGACATCTGCTAATTTCAAACCAGCTTCACCCCCTGGACAAGACCTGGCATCCTGCTTTGTGTTGAGAGGAACTGAAGTGAAAGGGCAATTCATGCCAACAACTATCTGTAATCTCCAGGGTTGGTGCCCCTCTGCCACGAGATACAGAGGGGACATCTGCATGTCCCTCCTGCTTGTGGACTGCCAGGAAGTACCTCCTGGCCTTTATGGGAGAGAAGATGCGTTAGAGGAGCGTGTGTTTAGATCTAGGAAGGGGCTTATGGGCCATTCCCCCCCAAGGCTCTCAGCTCTCCCAGCCTGCATTGGGCTGAGGGGAGCTACACCTCTCGCGTGTCGGAGGAGACCGGCTCGAGGAAGGCTGCGTAATGGAATCATAAGGTTGGTTGAGATCTTGGAGATCATCCAACTGCCCCCCACCCTCTCCCCCCGCTGCAGATTCTGCAGTACAAAAAGCAATTGTCTTCTTTCTGGCAGAGCATGGGGGATCACTACTAAATTCTTCTAAATTGACATGCAAGGACCTTAATAATTTTCTGGTTGATTTTTAGAAAACTGCAAATGAAACTTTCCTACTCAATTCAATATGTTTCTTTTGAATGCTTCTCCCCTCAAATGGCAAAACACACACGCGGGCACTCAGATTAACTAGATTCTAGTATCTAGAAGTACTCTCAGAGAAAAAGGCATATTTACCTTGGATATCTGGGGACCACTAAAAGACGGAAAAAGAAACTGCAGAGGAGCAGCAGTGGGGCAAAGGGCTACGAAGTCTACCTGCTGTAACTGTTGGGCTGATGGAGGGACCCAAGCTGTTTGTCTCAGGGCACGGCTGAGGAAAACTTACTGGGAACTAGAGACTGGAACATGCCACAGTGGCCCTTAAGAGCTGGGGACTGGGAGATGAATTCTCCCCATAGAAACATCACTAAGGCTTTTACGGAAGCGCCGCTGGATTTCTACATGGACTTTGGGGAAAAAACAGCATGAATCAGCCTATTCAATTTATGCTATGTCCAGCTCCAGGATATTATTAACCCAAAGATCCCACTGAGATGCCGAGATGAGGAATCCCCAGGTCTGCACTCAGAGGACAAGCTGCAACTGAGTAGATCTGCACATTATCTTCACGCTGACTTCAACCACCCGCTCGCCTTGCTTTGGATTTTCAAATCATTAAGATATCCTTGCAGTCATGAGGAACAGGAACTTGCTTTTTAAAAAAAACTAAAAATCAAACTAAACCGCAAGATGTTCAGGATGCTGAGTTTTGTAGCATCCCTCCCCCCACTCCCATGTTTTTTTGTGATACGTATCTGCAAAATGAAACAAGGTATGGTAACCTGTGGCACAGACCCTCTGAGAAGAAGAGAAAGGTTTAAGTCCAACAGAGAGAGAAGAAGAAGAAGGAAGTTAAGAGAGATCTGACTGGGCTGCCTCAAGAGCAAAGATGTTCAAATGACAATCCAGTAAGACAGTTTCTCCAGCATGGTCAGATCAAGATGCTTTGTGATACAACGCCCAAAATCCCCAGCCAACATGGCCACTGGCCGGGGATGATAAGAACTGCAACCCACCGTATCTGGAAACCCCACAGTGGAAAAGGCTGGAGTAGGCCATCAGCCATCAGGAGAAAGGCCCACATAGGGCCTTTCAATTTGGAAGTAATGGGAGAGAAATTCTGGGCATGGGGAACATTTGAAGCTACATCAGCAACTGCTCCAAGGCTCCAAGGACCAGGCCAGCTTCTATGCCTTGGGAGAAACCCCTGGGACAGAGCACCCAAGAAGAGGTGTGAGTTGGGGGATAAGGGGTGGGGCAGGTCCAGGGAGGGCACAGAGTTGGAGAAGAGTTTGGGAAGGAGGAAAAAGTGGGAAGTGAAAGAAGAGAACTGCAGCATTCTCCGAAGGGTCAACAAGCACACCTTCAAGATGGAAAGGAGTGGAATGGGAGGGAGGCCTATTGCTACAGATAGCAAAGATCTTGCTAAAAAGCTCGGCCGATGTGTGCTGGTATTTGCAAAAAGCGCAGGAAGAGATGCCCCAAGCAGGCCTGCCCATCCCCCGGGAGGAAAAAGAAAGCGGCGAAAGCATGGCTGGAAATCTGGCGCAAGTGGCCAAGAAACCTGAGCAGCGAAAAAGAGAGCTGAAGGAGAACAGAAAAACAGACCTTTGGGAAATACAGGCTCCAAATGCCAGGAGCGTGAGAGGACGTGGACGCGGGCAGACGAGCCCAGACCCCCTGAGCGCTATGAAGGTTGCTTCTCTGCTTCAGGGGTGCCACACTTTATCCCTGTTAGCCTCTTCTCCCCCCCCCCATCCCATTGAGCAGTAATGGAGACAGCGATGCCTCGGCTATGTCATATCAAGGGTGAAGCTGGGGTGGGGGCAGGCCTCCCCACCAGGGTTGGGGAATCTCCCCCCGGCCTCCTTCCCCAGTTAATAGATTCCTAAAGGGCTACCTCCCTCTCCTTGGCTTTGTCCGACACTTGAAACAGTTCAAGTTATTAATTTTTAAAGGGCAGCATCTGCTGAGCTTTGGAAAGCAGAAAGGCTAGCGCATACGACCCACGCTTGCTGACGCCACGTGCAGAGGGGCACACCTGCTGGTCCGCGCGTTGCCAGTCCCTTCCACGCGCGTTTTCACAGAGGCAAAGCACACTCCTTACTGGGCCGACAGCACGCAGGCTGCTGCACGCCGCTCAAGCCACCCTTCAAGGCCATTTACGAGCGCCATTTTGTAGAACCGAAATGGGACGATGGCCAGCATTCTGCGCCGGGGCAGAGCCCCAGCAGGCCTCCTTCCCAGGCAGGGACCAGTTTCCCACCCGTTGCTGCCACGGGCAGGTGGAAATACGCAGGGCCTACCAGACTGGGAAAAAGAAGACTGAAGGGCACACGTACGTTTGTCTCCTTGTCTGTCCCCAAGGCTACAGGCTTCTTTGAGTCCTTAAGAGCAAAGTGAGGAACTTGCTTTAGTGCTGAATCTGGTTTTCTCACCGTTCGACCCTCTCCCTGGCCTGGTGGAGACGGCGAACTGCATGGCCCCCCCGAAGAAGAACGGGAAGCCAGACTTCTGCCATTAGCAGAAAGGCCGGTGCGTCCACCAAGTTCGGTCCCTTGAATGATTTGTTTAAAAAATCAAGTTTCCTGCAGAGAGTTAAATCTCTTGCAGCCTTATACAATCCAATCCTACAATTGCTTCTCATCATTGGATGCCCAAAAGGCCCGGCTCATCAGGCAGAAGCTGGTCTCTGATGCTACCAGCTATTATCAGAACAGAGATGTGTTTGATAGATTTTTTAAAAATGTTTTTAACGTTTTCTTCCATCGGGCCTTGCTATAAAAACTGCTTTGGGCAATATTTAGAGACTCAGGATGCGAACGGTTAAATAAATAAAGAAGAAAGGCAGAAAATGCACCTGATTGTGCAAAAGCCAATGGATTTATTTCTAAACTCTTCCTGTCCGGAGCAGGAAGCAGACATTTAAAATCAAGAATATTGATAGATATTGATGCTAAAGCAACCGTTTTTTATTAAAAAAAAAAAAAAGATTTATTAATGCAAGCAAGCCATGACTCATGGGCTTCATCCAGAAAAGCGCATCGCCCTCTGGTAACAAAACGGTGGGCTGCCCTCTCACCCCTTCCTCAGAAGGGCTAACCCACATAATTAATGTTGGAAAAAGTCTGTGGCCTATTTAATTGGGGCCAGATTTTTAGTAGATCAGAAAGATGCTTAATTGATTCATCTAACCAATGAAGCAACTAAATATTAAAATCATTCATTATATGCTGTGGGCTTGACATGACTTGGAGAGAGCCCCCTTACTTAAATTCCATTTCTGTTTCATAGGGGAGTAGGTCTTAACGCTATCGGGGGTTCCCGTTTTCCCTACGCTATCATATTTTCTTAACTTATGCTTCAGTACTGAAACTCCTGCTGTATCTCCTTCTTTGGGGCCACGATCCTGTCAAGCTAAAGCACACTTCCCTGGGAGTAATTGTGCACGCAGCTGTAGATTTCCTTGAAATTTCCACTGCAACCAGGTCTTTGATGCCAAAGAGGCAAGCTGTCTTTCAAACGGAATTTTACCATGTATGCAAGCGGCTTGCCTCTTTAAGAATGTGATAGAAACATCAGAGAACTGATCCTTCAGCCTATTTTGCTATTAATCATAATGTAGGTATCTGTTTCAAATTACGATGGAGACTATATTAAGAAGTGACTTGTCTCTTCAGCACATGATGGAAACACCAAAGAAACCTCTTAACAATTTCCCATAACAATTGTAGCATCAAGAGTCATTCTCTGAGACCACATGTATGCCTCTGAACTGTCATTTAAGAACCTTTGCTGTGTGGGCAGTCTTATAAAACATATCTACATTATAAAGGGATCTTTTCGAAGGATCTATAGAATCCTGCTGGGAAAGCTAGGAATTTCTGATGGAGAATTCTCAGGAATTGACTATAGAAAAAATACATTTCTTTAAATAAAAACATTTAAAAGACATTTCTTTAAATAATCAAGAATTATTTGATGGGCAAATCCAGTATTAGAATGGAGATGTCCTTTGTAGTGTACTCCCCCCCCAATAAAGATTCAGTGATCATACTGCAGCATCAGTTAATAGTAATCTGATCAGCTCACTATCGAGAGAGCACAACAGGACAACAGTGGGAAAATAAAAGTTAGAAAGCATGACAGAACTGGTGATCACCTTCCCTTGCTTTGACTGCAACATGCAAGTGTTCAGACGGGTAAGATGTCCGGAGCATGCACGCACAGCCGTGCAAAATGTGCATTTTATTTCATTCTCTGGTTTGCCAGATTTAGCAAAGGCTACTGAGGAAAACCCAGATAAATAAATACTAATAAAAATAATAAATACAGAAGTCAGCCTGCTTAGCAACTGTTTACACGCTCATTACTCTATAACGATGATGTGCGTGACGGGGGGGGGGAAAACCAATACCAAACCACCCCAATTACAAGTGATGGGTAGAGGGGAGGAAAAGGCTCGTGTAAATAAATATTTAAGCAAGATCTGTAGCAGAACCATCTGCTAGGGCACTAATAATAATAAATAATGAGTCCAAGGGAAAAAGAAATGTAAATATACAGTGAGAGGAAAAGTAGAGTCTCATGCACCCCGAAGAAGCTAAGTGAGAGGCTCCGTTTTGTGAAGTAAACGAGTGCAGCTTTCCGCGGGGCCTCTTAACAACCCTATCAAGCAAATTGTGCTGCACAGATACAGTCCCTCTCTGTCCCCAATGTAGAGCTCGATTCCTTTTTTCCCACCTTTCCAAAATGCTCACACACGTGTGTTAGATTCAGTGCAAGTGCCTGGTTATCAAATACAAGCTGGACAGATGGAGGTCCTGACTGCGTGATCTTGCAGGCCACGAAAGGGAAGGTGCCCTAATAGAAATAACTCTGGACGTCTCCCAGGACGCTCCATAATTCTTCCACAGTTCCACATGTTACGCTTCAGATCGCTTCATGGGGCAGGCTAAATCAAAAGGTTCTGGAAGTGGGAAAAGCACGGGCTCTTCGAAGGCAGGGGGCAGCATCCACGGGACCTAGGTCCCCATACTGTCTCCGGAATGGCGTTGGAGGACTTTGGCCCAAGACCGCTCCTCTCCTTTGACTTCTAACCCCAAGCTAGCCTTGCTAATCTCAAGGAATGCAGCTGCCGGGAGCCCCTTCCACCTCCGCTAAGCACAGAGGAAGCTGCCTGCCTCTGCAGCTGGCAAAGGACAAACCATCCTCTCCTTGTCTTGACAAGAGACAGCTTAAAATAATGAGCTTATGACTGCTAATCAAGCCGGCCCCACTGTGTGATTTAAGGGCCCCAAGGGGAAGGACTTTGGGCGAGGGAAAAAAATGAGCAGAAGAAAGCGGTGTGTGTGCGTGCAGATGCGTGCACAGGAGTTGCCCTTCAGATCCTGCGATGCAAAAGTTACTAGTGTGGATTAGAATCAATTCTGATCTTAAAAGAGGAAGACAAGGAGAAAAAGAGAGGGAAGGAGAAATTAAACACCTTATTGCTTTGCTTCAACTATCCTTATTGTGGATACCTGGTTGGATAATGTCTGGTTAAATGTGCTGTTAAATCATTTACAGCTGGAGACGGATTTTCAGAGAGCTGAAGGACAATTTGAAAACAGGACATTATCTACAGCGCGTGCTAGCCTTTCTCAATCTGGCACCCTCCAGATGTTAGGCTACGACTCTTATTACCTCCGCCTTTCTGGCTGGGGATGATGGGAGTTGATGACAGCTCAACGCCCCTAAAGGGCATTGACGTGGAGAAGGCTCGTGCACTGTATGCCGTTATTCCAAGTTGTCCTTTGCCAATAGAGTCTTGGGGGTTTTCTGTTTCATTTTGCATCACAAAACATGCAATGTCACGGAAAGAAAAGGCTCTCTTGAGCCCCTTCCAAGAACGATGCAGCTCTGCTATTTGCTTTAAATTATCGAGATGGAAGACTAACAAGCAGGATGACAATGGGCAGACTGATGAAATCTTGGGTCTCCCAGTCTGGGCCAGAAGTACCTAAGGTACCTAAAGTCGGGTAACGAAATGTCTGCAAGAAAAGAACCAAGCTCGGAGAACTTCAAGGACTCCACAGCACGTAATGCCCAGGGAACGCAACTAGGTCTCAGTGAATGCAATGGTGGCTCGGGAGCCCAGCCAAGCACAACATTCTTACTGAGAGCTATACATCAACGGGGCAAATTTTGTGTAGTGACCACTAGACTTCGAGAAGTTCTCTCGATTGCAGGAAGGCAAGTTCCCCCTTTTTTCAATTGTGCATCTGAGATAAATTTCTTTCGTGATTATAGGTTTGGGCTTACTTTATGTTCACTTCTACCGTTTTACGTACGAATATGATCTATCCCTGGCTGAAATAAAGTGATGCAGTCTGATCTGGCTAATTTGAGGGTCAATGAACGCATCCTAAATAGTCAGAAGGTAGAAAACGCATCAGAAAGAAGTGGCAAAGAATTTGCTCGGTCTCTTTGTGTGGTATGAAAGCCGGCGGGGAGGATATATACTTGTTCCAGCTGATATCATGAAGTAACTTCCATACAGAATGCTCTATGAAGGTGCACTTCAGATTAACTGCAATATTTCTTCTGATTACAGATCCCCAGAATCTCAAGCAGAGAAGGCTCTTCCATGTCAGCTGGAGCTGGAGCTGGAGCTGGCCACAACACTTCCCTCAAGCGAACGGTGGCCCATCTCGGGGAGAGGACAGGGTGGGAGTTGAGCAGGAAAGGGGGCAGTGATAGCAGTGGGGAGGTCGGTGTGGATGTCAGAGAGAAGGGGACAGACTCCGCGCCCCTGACTGGTGGCTTACACCGCACCCAAACGGGCAGCCAGAGCCCTTGCACTGTTCTGTCCCACAGCCCCTCCACCCTGCTCCCAAGACCCCAGGGCAGTGCAGGGAAGGGACATCGGCCTACCTGGCAATATATTTCTGGTAAATATTTACATCTTCGGTGACAGCTGGTTTGTCAGTGGTTAATCCATTCCTAATGAGAAGCACACACAGGGCAGAGATGGTTAGCACCAGGCAGTATCCGGACATGCATCAAGCCCCCCCACCCGAGAGAGACTGCGCCCAAGGGCAGTGACGTGGCCCAGAGGGGCACATGGGCTTTGTCGCTCTGGCTTGCTGAGGAGCCTTTCACCCTGGTTCACCAGCAAGTCCTGTCTCCCCAAAGGGTGCCTGCCTATTTATTGAAGGGCTGTGTTGCAGTAACTTGGCCAGTGTTTATAAAACCACGCCTCAGCCTGCATGTGGACAAAGAAAAACTGGTCTTGATGAGCCACAAAAGCTCTCCAGGGTTACAGGCAGGCAGGAGGAAATCTTCCAGTGTCTGCTCGTTGATCTTTTTGACGCTGGAGATGCCAAGGATCCATCCTTTGGCCTCCTACGTGCAAACCTGAACTGCAGCCTCTAGCAACTGCACCTTCTTTCACTGCCCATTTGCTGGGTGAAGAAAACTAGGGTTTCAACGTCGTTCTCCAGCTAACATCAGCTTAGTCCAAGCAGGACTGTTGCCTTTCTCTTTGCCTAATCATCCCCCTGCTCCCTTTTTTTATCTGCTGCCTGCAATGCATAAGATACAAGGTAAATAACAGAAGAAAATGTCTCATATCGAGTGCTCGTTGAAGTCCAGGATTCTCAGCCGAGCCCTCCCAAGGATTCTTATGAAGTTATGGCACAGAGGGAAGCCACACAAAGGTTCGCCACAAAAAATCACAGGGATCTTTCACCCTCCCTCCCCCAAGTTTTACCTAAAGTTCATCCTCAACTCTGTGTGTGTGTGTGAGAGAGAGAGAGAGAGAGAGAAAGAGAGAGAGAGAGAGAGAGAGAGAAAGTGAGAGAAAGAGGGTTGTACTGAATGGCGCACACTCATGGAGCCAAGCATTTCAGAGATTGACGGCCTCACATCTGGCTGCCCTTGACATGCTCTTGTCTGAGATGTGTGATTTAAAAGGTCTAGGTGCCTCACAGCTGGTTTTGCGATGAAATGACTGTCTGACTGGCCTGGATTAAAGCCAATTCGAACTCCAGCCCACCAGGAATGGGTGACAGAGAATTTGAAATGTCCATGCAATAGAGCAGACACCTGCTCTATTGGGGTAATGCATCCTGGTTTCATGTTTTCTTTTACTTTGGTTAAGCTTCAGGGTTTTTTTTAGTTTCCCCTTGTTTTGATCCCCACCCCTACTTCTCTGAAAGTATGGAATATCACGGAAACAAAATAAATCATATAACAGAATATTGTTATCATTGATGACTTGATATGGGGCGAGCGGGCTTTGGACTCACTGGGATCTCTTTGTTTACCATTTGAAATCATGATCCAGCAACTGCATCTGGTACAAAATAGGGGTTCGGGGGGCTGTCAGTCACTGAGAATTAAAGAACAGGGATTTTATGATGATCGCTGAGCCCAAAGATTTGAGACTAGAACCAGAACCAAGCTCAAAAGGTCACTCAAGTCTTCTTTTACTTGCAGTAACTCATCTACCGCAACTTCCATTAGTAGGAAAACTCCAAAGAAAACCTTGCCGATCGACCTCAGACAACCCAATCTGTCCTAAGAACATAAGAAGAGCTGTGCTGGATCAGGCCAAAAGGCTCACATAAGGTAGCATTCTGTTTCTCATTGTAGCCAAACAGAAGCCTATGGAAAACCATTTCGTCTCTGTCCTCTCTCCCATTTTTGTTCCTCTCAACTAATACCAAGTGTCGTATCATATTTGATCCTGAAGCTATTATTTAGTCACCTGAGTTTTCTCATCCATTAAGTTATTTAATCTACCTTTCAACATGTTCTCCTACCATCTCCCCTGTCACCCTTAGGGCCCAGAGGAGGACATGGACGATGTTCCTACAGCACATCTGCAGGATCTCTTTCCCAGCTTGGCGTCCTGCAGATGTGCAGGACTACAGCTACTCAGCCAACATGGTCTTTATCAGCTCTGCACCCTTGGAGAGGGCCAAGTTGGAGAAGGCTGCAGCATGGCGGTGCTACGGCTTTCTTTTCCCCCCATCTCTTAAATGAGAGCAGTCATGAATGGGAATAGACTTACTTAACAGTGGAAACTGTTCCAGTAGTGATGGAGTCCGTCTTGGAAAAAGTGGATTTAAGGTATTCTGGAGTGTTGAAGGGTAGAGAGACCGGCTGCTCAGGTCCAGCTACTGGAGCGCTGCTGGGAGTGCTGGCAAGAGGGTTAGGGCCCAAGCTGGGTGCTGGAGCTTTGACTGGGGTAATCTTCTGGATGTTCCTGACATCGTATTTGGATGGGCGTCCCACTTTGCCTGTCTTGAAGGCGATAGCTCCTCCCATGTCCGGGCTGCCTTCACCTGGCTTGAAGAGATGCAAGTATTTGACATTCTCCAAGTCATACTTGGAGGCCTTCTTGTAGGTATTGCCATTCTGTGGCCGGAGACTCTCCCCTGTCTTCAATTTCTGGATGAAAAAATCATACTTGGAGGCCCGAGACATCAGCCCTTGCATCTGGGAACTGCTGGATGAAGGCAGAGGCAAAATGGTGGCTTTCGTCTCAGGCAGGAGTGAAGTTTCTGGGGCTGGCAACCGAATTGGTTGCCCCAAGCCTATGGGGGCCTCCTTGCCTAGCTTGCTGGTCAGCTCCTCAGTCTTAACCGGATGAACAGGCCACGGGACTTGCTCCCCAGCCTTCAATTTGCGGATGTACTCCTCGTATTTGGAAAAGCGGGCTCTCTTGCTCATGGCATCCTCGCCAGCAAGGGATGTGGCAACAGTAGCTGGGTTGGCCTCTGAGGTAGGAGCATTCAGCTTCTCAAAGCTAATCTTGCGAGCCAGCTCATCCCGCATGTTCTGGTCATCATAGCCAAACATGCCTAGGAACTCGCTCATGGTGGTAGCAGCATAGTCTCGCAGAGATGAAGCCTCCCCTGGAGTAAGTGACAGAAAGACAGAAAAAGTGTCACTCGGTGGGGCATCCTTCCTTCTTTCCCTTCTGTGCTGCCAGTTGTGGTAGGGTGGGGTGGCAGGGATGGGGGATGGGGGAGAAGGAGCAAACACGACCGGCTGACGTTTGGCTCACTTGTTCAGTTTTACGACACTTAAATTAATTTGTTTTTTTAAAAAAAGTAATTAATACTGGGGTAAAATAAAAAGAGTTCATCAATGCCAGGAAAATCAATTTCCTAAATGTTCTAGCCGATGGCTTTTCAGTACATTAAACAAAGTTTCATAAATGTCTCTGTGCTCTCGCCTTGGCCTAATATGAAGAAAAAGTAATTTTACTGGAAGTGAGGTCGCTACCGATATGCCAAAGGCGCCACAGGCTACCCTGCCTGTGTGGGGGAGGCTGGCAGCGAGGAGACACCTTCCCCCCAAAAGCAGTGAGGTGGGAACGGGAGGTAAGGAAGCAAAGGGGCAAGGTAGGGGAGAGAAAGATGGCAGAGGGAGCCAGAGGAAAACATTAAACTTCATGAAAGTTGTGGCAAAATAGATAGAAAGACATTTTGATTGTGTGTGTGTGTGTGTGTATACATATACATACATACATACACACACACACACACAAACACATATTCTTCATTCCATTCACAATTAAGTGACTTCATTTACTTAATTTACTGTCCCAGATGCATTCTGAATGTGGGTATGTCTATCCATGACTATTAATGAAGTTTTCTAAATGGAACCTCTCTAGATGGAAGACGACAATCAAATGTCAGCTGTGGAAGGAACAATGGGATTTCCCTAACAAACTCCCATCTTTTCTAGTGGGATTCCTAGAAGCATCTGACTGGCCACTGTGGGCCCGGGTGCTGAACCAGAGGGGCCACTGTCTTCCTCCAGCTATGCTCTTTGCAGCTTTAAACAAGGTGTGGTGCATTCGAAACAAGGGTGAGACATTCCCTCCTCCTTTTGCTGCCAATCTACTTAGCATGTCTTATCCATCCCCAGATACTGCACATTAAGATCATGTTAGAGGTGGTCAAGACACAATTGACTTTATCTTCAGCACTTTCACAACATCAGGGGCCCTTCACATGGTCAACACCACACAAGAGACGATTGTCAGAATCAGTTCCTGAAAGGCCGGCAGACAGGCTAATATGGATGTGACTGTAAGGCCCAAGTGTTAGGTTCTTATTATTCCCATTTTGCACTTGAGAGAACACTAAGTGAAGACAACTTGAGTGCAGAGAAGAGACCCAAATCTCCAAACACCATCTAACTCTCTACCTGTGAATCTACCATAAGTCTCATAGATACTTCAAAATGCATGATTCCAAAGATAAAAGGAAAGCTCTAGTAATCAGCCAAGCAACTGATGGACTGACTCTCCCTATTCAAGAGGCAATATTCCTCTGATTGCCAGACACTGGGGAACAGTCAAATGACACCAAGGGACCATCTCAATTACATCCAGCTTGTTGGCGTTTGAGAATATGCAGCTGAGCACTTTCAGGAGTCAAGCAATGAACCAGATAGGCCTTTGTTCTGATCCTACAGAGCCAATTTTACTATATTCTTGACTTATGATGCTACCCTGTCATTGCAGCAAAAGCATTTCTGGATGTTGGAAAAAGCTGTCAAAGTCTGGAGGAGAAAGAAGGTTAACTACTCTTCCTTTAGTAGGATTACAGGGTAGGAAATGCAGAGGGAGAGTTAAGATAACCCAGGCTTTCCAAACGGGTGTTCTGCAGGGGCTTTGAGTTTCAGCATGTCCCAGTCAATTAAAGGTCATGCTGGCTGAGAATTATGGAAGTCAAAGTCCAAATACAATTAGAAAGCACTGTGTTTGAGAAGGCTGGGTAATCTGTAGTTTCCTTGGATGAAGTGGCTTCTGCCTCTATCAGCCTGTCTCTTCTGTTTATTTATTTCCCCAAATTTATACGCTGCGCTCCGAGTGGCTTATGACCATACGATCACAAAACATTGCAAGATTATGAAAACACACAAATTTAAAATGTAAAGCTTTTACAAGTTTTAAAGGAACAAACAGGATAAGCTACGTAACAGCCACATTACTTCGACAAAATCAAAGGAGAGAGAGGAGGAAGGAGATCTTTTATCCTGCCTTCTGGCCCACAAATGGCCCCTTGAGGCAATTCTGTTGGTCACTGGGAAGGAGAATGTGGAGGCTGCTTTTATCAGTACAAAGGAGGAGAGAGAATCCCTTCTAATGTGCCAGCACGGCTTTCCTTCTGAAATCCTGGATGATACAGACTTAGAGCAGCAGTCCCAGATCTGTCTGGCTCAGAAGAAGACAGCTGTTCCCAAAGATCTGTGGAAAGGGCCGTGGCTCCGTTTTAAAATCATCGAGCAGCAAAGGGAGCCTAGTTCAATCCCCAGCATCTTCCATTTGGCTGGGGAAAAGACTTCAGTTTGAAAGCTGGGAAAGCTACTCAGACTTTTGGCTAAGATCAAGGGGAGCACTGCTGCCAAACCATATTGGAGTAGATGTTTTGTATGTCCCACTGGACCGTTAGAAAATCTAAAATCCCTTGGTAAGACATGTGTGGGTCTGGGATGGGCAGAAAACGATGAGAGTCAAGTGGAGGTGGAAGTGGGAAAGCCTTTGATGCAAAAAGGAGGGAGAAGGGAGATAACACAGAGCTGGGGAAATGTGGAGAGAGCGAGCGAGAAAGAGTGTCAGCCTCCTACCTTTTCGGGTTGCCCTGACAGAGTACACACACTTGTTTAAGTGTCGCGCTTGACTCCGCCTCCGTATTTCTGGGACCCTTGTGGCAGCGTGTGCCACATCCTCCCCTTGCCTTTGTGCGCCACTTCCACACTGCGTGTTGTGCTGTGTGAGCTGCCACATTAAAGGGGTTGCTCCACCTCAAAGCTTTCTGCTGCTTTGCTGCCCTTCCCCAGTGTAACTCTAGAGCTCTCACAATAGTCCCTAATCCTGGACAATCCCAGAACTAAGATTTTCCCATTCTTGCTAAATCCATCTTCCCCACTGCTCCTGTTTTTCACATCTCCTTTGACTTGAAAAAGGATCACATCACTTTTCACCCCTGTGACTCATCCCCAGCTCCCCAGGGCCCAGCACTCACACTGAAATCCCATGCATGCCAGGCTCAAAATGAAGGGAGGGTGGGGCAGAAAGCCAACGGGGAAGCTAAATGATTCCAGATTGGGGAATTATGGGGCGAGGGGAGGGATTATAGTCAATTTAACCACCCCCATCTCACTCTAGCTGCACTCCAAGGATTTTACTCAAGAGAATCCACTAGGAAACACTAGCAAACAGGTCCTGCCAGAGTTAAGCACAGAAAGGGAGCTTGAGAAATGGTGGGATCCCGGCAGTGCTGGAAATTTGGGGTCTAATGCAAACTTCTTAGAGGCCACTGTGGGCTCTGGGGACTCTTGCTAAATCCTCTCACAATGTCGCTGTTGTTGCTTCTTCAGGCTCTGTTGGGATGCGAGGTTTTAAAGAGACTCCCCTCCCTTCATTTCTGCCACCTGTCCATTTGTGGGCATTGCCAAAGAACAGAGATATGTGTGCATGTGAGCGGAGAGGGAGGACCCTGGCTTGGAGCAACTCTCGTATCACAAAGGATCCAGAGTTAGCAAAAGGAAAAAAAAAAGGGGGGGGGGAAAGCACAACACACTCATCACACAAACACAACCCAAAGGGGGCTAAAAATAGCTGAGAGCAGCACACTATATATGGAAGGGAAGGCAAAGAAGCCCAAATGGAGCAAAATGTCTCTGGACTCAGGGGGATGGGCAGGGTGTCCTGAACAAAGCTTCCTTTTCTCTTCTGGACAGAAAAATGAGGAGCGGAAGCCAGGATGAGGAGAAGACCCTGGTTTGGGGGAAGGGGGGTGATTGTGACTAAGCAGGTAGCACTGATGGTGTTTGGGGTCACAGGTTGCGAAGAAAGAGCAGTGATGATCCAAGGACCGTGGAGCTCTGATGTGGAAAAACCTCACTGCGCATGAAGGTCCCTGACAGGTATGTGAAATTTCCAGGGACACATCCTTTCGGTTTCACACAGCACTCAGAAGTTATTCTCCAGAGCTAAAGGAAAGGGGGCGGGGGGGGGGGATCCTTTTCTTGTATGGCACCTGTGTGCACACTTCAGGACCGTTTGACTGGAAAAATTTTTATTGCTAGGCTACATCCACCCCACCCCGAAAGAATGTGAGAGAGTTTCCCTCGCCACCGTTTAAAAACATATTACGTGCTGCATCGATTCACATTAATTTCAAAAGTGATTAACTAACTGCAAGCCAATGACGATTTTAGAAAATCTCCACATTATACAACCGAAAGAAACCAAACAGCAACCCAGAAAAACCGCAGCAAAGAAATCCGTAAGGGGCAGGAAAAAGAGAAAGAACGGGGCAAATCATTGGGTGCCTATTGAACAAAGGACACTAGAGGAAATTACAGGATAGGTTCAGGGAAAAAATGCATGTCTCTGAATATTTATATTTAAATATATTTCTCTCTCTCTCCCTCCCTCCCTCTCTCTCTTCAAAAGGAAGAAGGGTCACTCACAAGCTTTTCCTTACCGAGTCCAAATAATTTAATATTTGTACAGCGCTCTTCTACAATAAAGTTGAGCCCACCCGACCCAAATACGAATAAAATATTAACCCTTGTCTCTAGCAGCTGATATAACCAGACGACCCTTTCTCTCTTACTACGGAGGTCCCGAGCTGCACCAGAACCTGAGAATTTGTCCAGGTCAAAGGTGTCCTTTCCTTGCCACACACACCCGGAGACAGAAGGTGCCCTTAAGCACGCAACCGTCCCCCTCCTTCACTCAACGGAGCCTGCCCATCGCTAGACAGAACCTGCATTTCCTTCCAACTCTTCTTCCTCTTTCACTTTCTCCCAAAACCGGAATAGCGACACAGAGCTTTGTGCCTAGCAGGAGAACTCAGTTTCAAGCACCTCCACCACAGAGGCCGAACTCTTCCCTAACTCAGATGCAGCCGGTGGTATGGCAGGCATGAAAAGTGTCACGCTTTTGGTGGGGTTTCTGGAAATAAAGGACCACATTTCTCACCAGGAAAAGCTGCGGCTGGGAAGAGTTTATGCCCGTTGTCTCCGGTATCAGAGCATGTGTTGCATAGACAATGGGCAGGCTAGGAATGTTGGCTTGTAAAAAAGGGAAAAGCAGCGCTTACTGCAAGCAAGGAAGGAAACCGAGCCAAGTTGACCCCCCTCCCCAGCTAATAAACTGCTGGTGGGTTATGGGATTTATGTCAAGGGTTGCCGCCAGGTGCCCGAGTGCAGAACCGTAAGTGGAGGTGGCGGCTGGGGAGTTGGCAGCCACGAGGAGCACGACGAGCAGAATGAAGTACAAGGAAGCAGAGATTTGGCAAGCCCAAAGTGGCCTACAAACATGTAACAAAGAGCAAGTTGTACTGTGTACCTCTCCAGAGAATAAAGGCAAGGGGAAGGATATGGGAGCGAAAGAGATTGCGCCCTGCCTGCTACCTGAATAAACGAAAGCGTGGGAATCCTGTTCTCAGCTGCTTTGCCTAACTTGGAGGAAACAGTGAAGAAAAGCTAATATTAACACCTACAAATTAACTGAAGGGCCCTCCATAGGCAACCTTGCAAATGTGTGTATCTGTAGCCAGTCCACATAAAGCCTTTCATATCCAAGCAACATAAGGATGGCTGACTTGACTACCTCAGCTTGTTTTCGTGGCCAGCCTGTCTGGTGAAAGCCTTGTTCCACCACCTATGCCCACAGTAGGACACACGTTTGCTCCCATTTTTAGTTCTTGGGGGTGATAGCTGCTGATCACATGCTCCTCCATGAATTTTCCTCCTTGTCTTGCTCACCTAGAAGCTGGCACACACTTTGGGTGGGAACTTTTGTCGATCTAGACTTCGAAAGGCAGCCTGTTATAAAAAAAACAACAACCCTGCCATATGGAGCTATGAAATTCCCTCTGGTCAGATACTCTGCTTCATGTTCTCTGAAGTAGTTCCTGTTCTCCATAACTCTGTATTTGGGAAGTGTGTGTGCACATGCATATTGCAAAGAAAGAGGGTGGAATAATAGGTGGGGGGGGGGTCTGAAAAATTAAAACAAACTTAAGCACCAGTCCAAACTCAATCACCTTGTGCTAGCGACAGACAAGGGCTTTTCCCTATCAAAGAAACTGAAGGTCAGCCTTCTCCTCATTGATCTTGCAATGTTTGTTAATTACTCTGTCACTGATGTGGCGAAGGATAATTAAACAGCTCTGTTTATATCTTATATGCATAATTATGAGCGTTGCCAGTGAACTCACGAAGGCTGGAGAAGAGGGAAGGGACAGATGAAGGGAGATGAGTTTCGGCTGCGTTATTAAACAGGAGTGCAAGGGGAGGCGGGAGGGAGGGGAGCTCGGACCCCTGTGCACAAAAGGGAGAATTTTTGACGGATCGGTGAGATCAGGGGGGCTTGTCAGAGATGTGGGAAAAAGGGCGAAGTGTCGAGCAAAGTTATTAAACCTGAATGGGAGTTAAGACTTCATTTGAAGATGCCCTTCTCCTTGGAGGGTGGGGCATGAGACTTCTGGAAACTCAACTGTAAATTGCTATGCGCTCTGCAGCTGCTTTTTTTTTTCTTTCTTAATCCTCTTCCTTTATTATAGTTTTCTGGAGCTCCCTATACCTGGCCCTATCTTGTTACCACCTGAGAAAAGTGGGAGTGAAACCTAAGATTTAGCAGGCACATCACAGATGCACGGACGCACAAACACACACACCCTGAACCCTGAACCCATTTAAGTCCCTAAAGCGATAGAATTTAAAGTTCCCCATTCCCTGGCCCTCACAATATAGTGACTGCAATATTGGGCACTCCACGTGGCAAAAAACTGGGTTGTAGCTATCCCTTTTACCTTGGCTCTATCAGACTGAAAAACACCAGTTCTTCAATATGAAGAACGGGAAATTCCTCAGCTGAGTTTTGCATACTAAAAAGGGAGCGTCCAGACATTCCTCTGCTTCCTCTATGGTGGCTCCTTTGCAGTACGGCACAGCTATATTGAATGGAAGTTACCAGTTCAATTATCTTTATAGCCAAACTCACATACTGAATAGCTCCTCCTGGCTAAAGAATATCCCTTCAGGTTTTTCCTCTTATCTAGGTCCTAAAGACTCAGAACAAGGAGCGCAGCTAATTCGAACCAAGAGGAGAGCTGCGTTTTGAACGTTGGGGCACCGTGCCACCTATGGGAAATGAACTAAATCTGCCCTGCCCAGGGAAGAGTTGAGTGGGCATATTTTTCAAAGCAAGAATGTGTTGTTATTGAAAAGAAAACCAAAATGACAGAGGCTGAAAGAGTAAAGGGAGGACTGCCGAACCGATCACACCTAGGAAAACAAACACGGAGAGCAGGAAACCCTCGTCCAAGAGAAAAGGAAGGGAGACGGAAGAGTCGTCTTGGGGGCTGCTGCCCAAGGCAATCGAATTCCGCTGGAGAAGAAGGCATCCGTGGCCCCATCGACTGCGCATCCTCCCACCTGGCCCCGCTTGGCACACCACGCCACTCTTCTTTTCCCACTTCTTCTCACCTCCAAAGCGAGAGACAGACTCTCCCATGGCTGCAGCAGCCAAAACACCAGAAGCGCTGGAGAAAGCAGGTTGGCACATACAGGAAAGTTGCAACCGGAGGGAGGGAGGGAGGACCTTTATTCTTTTCAGGTGCTATTTGGTGACGGGGATTAAACTCCAGATCCATGTATTATTGATTCCGTTTATTTTAACTCCCCATTTTGTACCTGTATTCACTCTGTGACTGTCCCATTATACTTAGTTTAGTGATGGCTATTAGTGTTTTAAATAATTCTGAAAAATATGTATTTAAGTTTTTGCCTTTTAAATAATATATAGGAATTGTCCTCATTTATTATATATGCACAAGGTAGCATTGACTGTTTTAATGGCACTGTAATGTTTTACTCACGTTTCTTAATCCCATTTTAAATATACGTCTAATTGCATTTGTTTAAAGGGGGTGTTGTCTAAGTTACAACTGGGGGATTCAAGGCTGAGCCGGCGTCTTCCGGTTACTGAAAAGACGCTGTGATGCTTGAAGGGGCTAAAAACTATTTGGACGATATCTCGCAAACCCAAGCCGTCAGGAGCAATGGCAAGAAAAGGTCACAGGCCCTCGCCTCCAAGATATAACAGCATGCAACTAACCCTATTCCACGCAAAAAGGGGTCCCCAAACCTCAAGGTGATTGCCCCAGGCTTTCTGGAAAAACAGGTCCCAAAGCACCAAAAGTAATACGTCAGAGAGGCAACCCACGGCCATCTTACCTAAAGACGCTCCTCCGCTGAGTTTGGAACTCCCTTCGCTGTTGGGGGCCCGAAAGCTTTCGTCCTTCAGGGGAGGCCCATCTGAATCTCGGTCATCCAGGAAGCTGCCATCTTGGGAGTCCCTCGGCGGCTCGGCTTCATCCCCGTTATCCTCGTCGTCGCTGCAGCCTTTCGGCTGCACCATGTACACACCCTCAGGGGGCAGCTCCGTCCCCTCAGAGGCCTTTGGTTCCTTGTTCTCAATGCGCCCCAGCAAGGGGTCTTCGGTGTACTCGCCATTGACCCATTTCTCTATCACCTCCCTCCGCTTGTCCTCCTTAATCTTCTGCACACGGTTCGCTCCCTCAGCAAACTCAGCCCCCAGCTCCTTCGCCACAGACTGGGTGACGTCCTTGGTAGCGGCAGCGTCACCGCCAACACTTTCCCACCCAAGGGGGGCTTTGTCGACATGTACCTGCTCAGGTCCCTTGTGGTCAACTACTACCTGGCGGCTGAGCTTGGCACAGATTGCATTTAACTTCAGGCCACCTTTGCGCTTGGCAGCCATCTTGGGGTTTCCTGAGGTTGCGTCAGCGCATATACTTCTTTCAGCTGGAGGAAGGGGCAGGAGAGAGAGAGAGAGAGAGAGAATGGATATTAGCAGAGGTTCATTAATTGTTCTATCCCAAGCATTCATAATGGCCTTTCAAAGCCACATGCTCAAAAAGAATGAAACAATCTGTTGATAAGGTTGATCATAGAAATGTATAGTAAACACAGCAAATACTGTAGATATTTGAGAAAAACTGCCTTGGATAACCCAACCACTTGTCCAGGTTCTTTAGAAAAGGTGGCAGAAGAACAACTTCCAAGAGGTCCCTTAAAGATTAATCAGAAGTGAGTTCAAAATCTCTGGCACCAGGACTACAGAGGCCCACAACCTAATTGATTTTATCGGGAAGGGAGCACATTCTCACAGCATTTGTGACTTATTCAATTGTTGGACTCTCACTCAGTGTGCTCCAACTCTGAAGAATAAAGACTTCCTAAGACCCTTCAGAACATGTCCTAGTTGAACAAGGGATATATGGACATGGAATTTCTACATCCAAGGCTAAGACTCCAGGAAATGCTTCCAAATTCTGCTCAAAACTCACATTCATTACAGATGGAAATATCATCCTGATTCAAGAATTAGATTAAGGAAACTGAAGTTCAGATTCCTGAGAAAACATAAAAATGAGTAGCTTACCCTGAGCTCCTCAAAATCTTTCAGCCTAGCCTACCTCATAGGCCTGTGGTGAGGATACAAGTGGGTAGCCATATACCCACCCAGAGTCCCATGAAGACAGGAAAGAAAGAGTCTATTGGCCACAGAGCTGTGGCATTGGCTCCAGGACAGCTCATTCCAAGACAGCCTTTTTGTCTAATTGCAGAAGTCAAAGATGTAGTAAAACTCAAAATAAGCTATGAATGTGCACTGAAATAAACCACAGTATGTATAGGTTTGATAAGCAGATGTAGTAACCTCTTTGCAAAGGTCTGCCTAGGTGCTGTCTCAACAATGCCCTTTCTCTCTTTCCTGCCACTAATTTATGCCTAATGCCCAATACACAGTTCTGCTCACCCCCTAACCTGTTCATGGAAGAAAACATATACAGTCCCTCACTCCTACCTTTCCACAAAGCTCTTTAAGATAGCATTTGGAGATTAAGATCTGCAACATGGATTGTCCTTAACCCTCATATGTATCATTTGCACATTTTTTAACTTGTATATTATTACTGTGCTATTTCTTATCGTTATTTTATGAGTTTTATTTGGATGTTAGTTGCCTGGAGTCTCTTGAGCTAGATAGGATATATCTACTAACTAACACACAAACAAAATTAGAATGACACTTGGGCTGGGTTTTATTCCAAAGACCCCAGGCCTTTCCCTTGCTTCTGCCCGGCACCCCCCCCCCATCCAGCCCCTGATATCTGTCCCACTTAAGCCCTAAGAGGCAGACACAGTTTGCCATCCATCAGACCCCTGGTGGTGCACCCAGAAGCGATTACGACATCCCCCAATCCTTCAACCTGACAGTCCAACGGAACAGCCTGAAACTTCAGAATCACTGTCCAATTGTCAGCAAGTGGCTGCTTAGCATTAGTGGCTGACAGCTCTGGGCACAGTTTCCCACAAAGAGAAGAGCAACAGAGGAGAAACCCACTGGCCAATGGCTGTCTCACAAACGAGCGACAGCAAGGAGCAAATGCCCCTTAAACATAGGCAAAACCTTTCTGGACATCAACTCCATCTGCCTCGGCAACCTACATTCATAGACTGCCAGAATAAACACTGCTCTCCTCCGATCTTGAATTGTGATTTAGACAGTCTTTCATTGCTTTAGCCATATCCGGAAGATTTTTCTTTCTTCTTGCATTGGCTAGTACTCTAGATCCCCCCATTCCTTTCTCTTGTAGATGAAGACAGCCAGCCCTATATATAAATGTTCAATCAGCACCTATTTCCTGTAATGTTTTGCAACATCACAGTGAACAGTGACCAGAGCTGAAGGAAAAGGCTGTTGATCTCATTTTCAAAGTAGCAAGGAGCTTAATCAAACTGATCAAACATCCTTCTACATGTGGGAGGTCTGGAAACCCTGAAAAATAATCAAAGCATCCACTTCTCATTGTTCTTCTCACCCACAAAAACGTGATGCCCAGATAACAGCAAAACAAAAACACATACACCTGTAAAAAACACACCCACCCATATCCTCACAGAAAGGGCACTCCCTGTACACACCTAGGTACATCTAGGTTCTGCAGACACATACACAAATGCTCACACACGCGCACACACACGCACACACACACCCCTGCTTGTGTAATATTGGCTTAGAGGGGAATCCAGGTCAAAGTTTCATCACCCTATTTCCTTGGCCTTAGCTGCTCCAGAAAGATCTAGCAATTCAGGCCCACATCTGTCCTCAGCTACACCTTAGCGGATGGCAACATGAAAGGGTCAAATAAGGTTAACGTGAGTGGGAAATTAACACCTAACCCAACCCCATCAAACATCAAACAAAAGCACTCTGGGGAAGCATGTGTGTGTGGGACAAATAACATTGAAAATGGTGGTGGCAGGGCTTGAACCTGCTCCAACGTCTCAAAGGCCACCAATGATTCGGTGCAAAGAGAGCAGGCGCGTGTGCATTAACGTCCCAAGTGGATCTTTTTTGCAAGCCAGGCTTCCCACAGTCAGCCAGAGGTGATGTCAGCCCTTCAGGGTAGGACAGGCTGGAGAAGAGACACTCCAAGGACCACCAGAACTCTTTCTGGGGGTAGAACTTGGATGATTACCACAGAATCCTGAAAACCCGACAGAGACTCTCTCCCTTCACCTCCCCTCTTATACCCAAGAGCATCAAGGCGGGGCAATCTTGAGTTTCTTTCTCACACCCTCTCCCTTCCAGGGCTCAGCTGACTATTACTAATGGCTGCTGAATTCCTTCTCCATACTCTTCTACAGGCAGGAGGAAGCCACGCGTCAGCCCTCCGCCCCCTCCTCTTGCAGACCTCTCTCTACGTTCTTATGCCCCTCTCTCTGTCAACGGCAGACCCGGTCCACACCTTCTTTAGGATGAGGGGCAATCCCGTCATTCCAGAGGGGAGCAGCCAAACACACATGGAGACAAACATAAAGAAAAGGAAAAAAGTGATAAGTACGTATGGCAAAGGAAGAAGGGAAGAGCAGGCAGCAGCCCCTCTTGCTTTAGAGGATGCCAAGGAGACCTGAGCCTTGCACCCCCTCCCTCAGGGCCAGGGACATGGCCCCCTAAGCACCCCTACAGGCTTCCCTTAACATTTGGCAGCTCTTAATAAAGACTGTATTTGAAATTATACTGTTCCAGGACCAGGATGCTGAGCCTTTTAGAAAGTTTTAAAATGATTATTGGTTAAAAATCACAAACTGCTATTAAAAGACAACATTCTGCACAACAGATTAAATGGGGGGAAAAACCCTGCCCCCAAGGGTCTTATATTTCAGAATTTGGCATCAAGATAAACAGCCCAGACACAAGAGAGTATGCAGAGAAGCAATTGTAACAGAGGCAAAAATCAACACAGACTATACATGAAATGCAATTAAGCCCCATTCTCTTGGCTTATTTCAGAAAGGATCCTCCCTGAAGCCTCTTCCTGACATCTTCTGGTCGGCCTAGCAGTGGGATGGCACCAAAACAGCGTCTAAGATGGATCTGCCCCACTCCCCCTAAAATAGGTCCTAACAACCATAATCTGGAGGGGAGAAGGCTTCTTCCAGGAGCCTGTATGGAAGAACTACTTCCAACAATCCTCAGTTTGGTGCAGGAGTTGTTGCTGTCACCATTTTCAGAAAGGAGGAGGGGAGAGTAAGGGAAGCAACAACAACATTTGTATCTAGTTTGAGGAGAAGACGTCCACCCCACCCCACTGCTGGACAGAGGCAGCCTTAAGTCCAGCATATGAATTATTGACCAGCTAGAGCAAAGAGGAGAAAAACCAGTCCTTCTTGGGATCCAACCTCCCCCTGCCTGAAAAGGTCAGCTGACCCCCACCCACCCCCACTACAACCCCCAACAGTTTTGATTCTCCATCCAGTGCCATGCAAAAGTTTCCAGGCTAAGTAAACTTCCCTTATGACTTTC